TTGTTGTTGTTATGTGCAGTTAAGTTGTCTCTGACTCCTAGTGACCTTATGTGCTACAGAATGAAACACTGCCCTGTCCAGTGCCAGCCTCATGATCCCTACTATACCTGAGCCCATCACTGCAGCCACCATGTCAATAAATCTAGTTCAGGACCTTCCCCTCTCTTGTTGACCCTCTGCTTTGCCAAGCATGACATTCTTCTCCAGAGAATGGTCCCTTCTGACAACATGACCAAAGCAGGTGAGACAGTGTGCCCATTCTTGTTTCCAAGTAGCCTTCCTGTTACACTTCTTCCAAAACAGATTTGTTCATTCTTTTGGCAGTCCATGGTACTTTCAGTATTCTTCACTAATATCATAACTAAAAAGCATCAGCTCTTCTTCTGTCTTCCTTACTCATTGTCCATCTCCCACATACATATGAGGCGATTGAAAATATGGGTTGGGTTAGGCACATCTTAGTCTTCAGGAGATATCTTTACTTTTCAGCACTTGAAAGGTCTTTTGCAACAAATTTGCCCAATGCAATACATCTTTTGGTGTCTTAACTGCTGCTTCCATTGGTGTTAGTTGTAGAACCAAGTAATATGAAGTCTTTGACAACTTCAGTCTCTTTATCTATCATGGTGCTGCTCATTGGTCCATTTGTGAGGATTTTTGTTTTCTTTATATTGAGGTGTAATCCATACTGCAGATTGCAGTCTATAATCTTCATCAGTAAGTGCTCCAAGTCATCCTTACTTTCAGTAAGAAAAGTTATGTTGTCTGCATATCTCAGGTTGTTAACAAGCCTTCCTCCAATCCTGATGCCATGTTCTTCTTCATATAGTCCGGCGTTTCATATTATTTGCTTAGCAAACAGATTGAATAAGTATGGTGAAAGGATACAACACCACTTGACAATACCAAAAGTGTCCGTGCTTTCAGGATCGCTGAGGGTCCGCAGCTCTGTATGTCTCCTTTTTTGCTGTTTTCATGTAGGTTCTTCTGCTAGTTGGAGTTTAGTCCACTCCTGTATCATTCCTTTCAAAGCTCCGGGCTCTAGGATTATCTTCTGTATCTGTGTTAATTGGTTCCTCTTTTCTTTGTTGTAGAGGGTCTGATTTGTCAACATTTTTAATTGCAAACTACAAAAGCTGATTCTTGCTGGTTAAGCAGAAACATGTATTCAAAATATGTTAAATAGTTTAAAGAATCAGTAGTGGCCTTGGGAAACGGGCTCAAGGCTACGGTTCCAAAGAAAATGACATCCAAGCAAGGTCTGAGGAGAAAAATCACCACTACAACCACCACAGGCACTAGAAGTTCATGTTATAGCAGTCAATTCTGCACCAAGAAATCAATTTTACAGCAGCCACCACTGCTCCAGGGACAATGCCACTTCTTTTTTTGCACTGGAAAGAACATAAAGACCAAAGTGACTAATAGCATTAATGATAAACATCTTTATCTTGTTCCTGACTTAAAAATGTGTTTAATGGCTCACCTTTAGGTATTGGCACAGAAGATATTAAGGAAGTCATCTTAAAGTCTTAGTTTATTAAGAAATTTTATGGGGCATTTCTGTCACATAGGATTGGTTTGAGTCAAAACTTGACTCAATGGCACCTAACAACAACACCAACAATATAGCCTGAATTTTGGCTTGGTATTAATAAATCATAGCTGAGTAGGTGCTTATCCCATTAAAAAAGAAAGAGAGATTTGTTTAATTTTCATTTTACCAGTATTTTTTTTTAATTGAGAATGAATTTGAAATTTTGTCATGTTTCTTGGTCCAAGATAACCATATGCTTTAAAAAAAAAAATTTAACCTATTAATGCATTATAGATTCATACATAACATTTATTCAGTTATAAAAAAACTGTTTAACATATAGGCTATGAACTCATGTTCTGGAATCTGACTGCCTGGATTTCAATCTAGGCTGTACCATTACTACTTATTATGACTATGGACAAATAACTTAATTTGGGAAGATAGTAATAATATATATATATATCAGAGTATGAGAGAATCGTTTCAGAAAATTCATTCAAACACCATGTGTAACACCTAGTGAATGTGCATTAAATGTCAGTCAGACATTGATGGTTAGTAAGAAGAAGGTGGGTGGGGAAAGTAGTTTATACAGCATAGACTAGTTATTTTTTTATAATGGGAAAAGTGACACCGATTGTGGATTTAGTAAGCACAGCACAATCAAAGTAATAACAGATGGTTAAGCACATATGAATGGGTATAGGCCAGTTGCAATATGGGTAAGTACAGATGTGTACATAAGGAGGAACAGATAGATGTATCGATAGCCAAAAAAACAAACCCACTGCCATAGAGTTGAGTCTGACTCATAGCAACCTCCACTGAGTTTTCAAGGCTATAAATCATTATGGAAGTAGGTTGCCTCATTTTCCTCCCATGGAGCAGCTGGTGGGTTTGAACTGCTGGTGGGTTGCTAACCTTCTGGTTAGCAGTCAAATGCCTTACCCACTATGCCACCAGACTTCCTTATGTTATTGTTGTGTGTCGTTGAGTTGGATCCAACCCATAATGACCCCTCCTTGGGTTTCCGAGTCAGTATCACTATGGAAGTAGATTGCCCAACCTTCCTTCTGAGGAGTGGCTGGTGGGTTTGAACCGCCAGCCTTCTGGTTAGCAGTCAAATGCCTTAGGCATTACACTACCAGACTTCCTTATAGTTAAGTGTATATACAAATATGTGGGTACAGGCACATGTTTACTGAAGATAAAAATAAAGATATGCGTTAGGTATAACCAAGCACTTTGCATCCTTAGTCTTCTGAATTTGAAGGCATAGGACCATAGTCATAGTTTCACGATACAACTCAGTCAATTGGCATAACATAACCCACAAAAACCCTACTGTCATCAACTCAATCCCGACTCAAAGCAACTCTATAGGACAGAGTAGAACTGCCTCATAGGGTTTCTAAGGTTGTAAATCGTTACAGAAGCAGATTGCCTCATCTTTCTCCCATGGAACAGCTGGTGGGTTTGAACAACTGACCTTTTGGTTAGCAGCCAAATTCTTTAATCACTATGCCACCAGAGCTTTTGTCTGCCACCAGACAAAAATCATGATCAGCATCACTTCACTAGGTACTCACTAGAGTACTGTCTGGAGTCTTAAAAATTTGTGAATAGTCTTCTAGGCTACAACTACTATTCTCAAATCATCAGTAGCAAAACAGTAAGAAGGTAACCAAGAACTCAGTGAAGAAGGAAGTCTACATGAGCCATAACCTCATTTACCCTCAGGCCAGAAGCACTAGATCATGCCGGGCTACCACCTCTGATCATCTGACCAGGGCCACAATAGTTGTTCCTGGACAGAATGAGAGAAAAATATGGAAGAAAACTCAAATTCCTATTGGAAATTAAACAGACAAACTGTGAATAGCCAAAGGAAAAAAAAAAATCAAACAAACTAAAACAGTACAGATGACCTCCTGAGACTATCTCCTGAGATAGTCTTTAAACCTAAAACTGAACCAATCCCTGAGATCACCTTTTAGCAAACTAGAGGAAATATTGGTGCCCTTCTTAAAAACTAACAGTATAAGACTGAAAAGTCAACAATTCCTTAAAAACGGAGATGGGAAGATAAGGGGACAGGGAAACTATTGTATTGAAAAGAGAATAAACAGAACACAAAGAGAATTTTGACGCTATATTCAATGTAACTAATGTCAGTGAACAATTTGTGTGGACATTGTCAAATGGGAATCTAGCTTGCTGTATAGACCTTCACCAGAAACAAAATATCACCTAAAAAAATGTAAGAATCTTTATTGTATGTTAACATAATGTTGGGAGCTCTGGTAGCATAGTGCCTAAGGCACTTAACTGCTTACCAGAGGCTGGATTCAAACCCACCAGTCCTCAGAAGGAAGGTTGGGCAATCTACTTCTGTAGTGATACTGCCTTGGAAACGCAAGGAGGGGTCGCTATGAGTCAGGTCTGACTCAACAGCACATAACAACAACAACAACAATATAATGTTGATTTTGTTAGTAGAGTATGCATGATTCTTGCAAAATATTTCCAAGTGAGATTGACTTGTGTTTTTCTTTGCAGATGCTGTTTTGTTAATTACTTTTGATACTTTTTGGTATCAGGGTTGTATTAGTCTTATCAAGTGGCCTGGGAAGCCTTCTTCCATACTCTAGAAAACTTTAAATAACATCTAAATTTCTGTTTAATGAAGTAATTTAAAAAAAAAAAAAAACCTCACTGCCATCAAACTGGATCCAACTCATAGCTACCCCTCCTTGGGTTTCCAAGGCAGGATCGCTATGGAAATAGATTGCCCAAACTAGAAATGTATATAAACCATCAGTGTTTTCAAGACATGATTTTCATTTCTTTCATGGCTATTCATATCTTCAACCAATTAAATTCATTTTAATCATCTGTGATTTCTTAGAATATATTTATCAAAAAAAAAAAAAAAAATCTCACCTCCATTGTGTCTTTTCCAACTCATAGTGACTCCCATTGGGTTTCTGAGGCTGTAAATCTTTATAGATAAAGTTGATTGGCCCATCTTATCTCCACCGAGCAGCTGGTGGGTTCAACCATTGAATTTCTGGTTAGCAGCCAAATGCCTTATCCACTACACCACCAGAGCTCCTTATTATTCATTACAATAACTGTAATGTTACTATAATAGACTCCTCCATATTATGTTAAAAATTTTTAAGTTTTATTACTACTATCTCTTGTTACCTCCTTTCCTATTATGTAACAACATTGATAGTTGCTATTCTTTACCTTTGTGCAGAACTAATAGTAAATTTATTGTCATGCTTCATTCATATAATAAGTTGTAGCAAATCATCAATAAAAATAATAATTATTTAAAGTATTCATTTCTTTTTATTTGGTAATAATTTGGGTTTACTTTTAATATTCAGATTTCTTATATGCCTCAATTCCATTTGTAAGGATGTTTCAGTTTTGTTTGTTATTTTCACAGAACATGGTTGGAGAGTGGTCCTTACCAGAAGAGATGGTTGATAATTTACCACCCTCCAACAATAACATACTGGGCCATGTGCTTCACAGACTGCTTGAAAAAACTCTTCCTCCTCCAGTTGAATCAACAATACCTGATGTATCTTCATTTGCTATTAAAGGGTGCATACTGGGGAAAACATTTAGTGGAAAAACTACCAGTCTAAAGTCTCTACAAAAAGGTAAAATTCCTTTTTTAAAAATTTTATTTATTGCATTCTATTTACACTGGTAGCATAGTGCCTAAGACATTTGACTGCTAACCAGGATGCTGGCGGTTCAAACCCACTTTCCACTCCTTGGAAGGAAGATGGAACAATCTACTTCTGTAGTGATGCTGCCTCAGAAACCCAAGGAGGGGTTGCTATGAGTCGGATCCGACTCGATGGCATGGGTTTAGTAGCTGCAAGTAGCTAGGTATGTCTGTAGAAAGTATGCTGATATATTGAGAAATCTCTGTCATCAAAAAGATGACATTTATTGTCCAACCCAGAGCACTTCAGAGAGTATAGCGTTGTCAACTGAGACTGTCCCCCAAACCTGGTCATATAGTCACCCTATGTATCTATGTATCATTATACATAGTATAAACAGAAATAACAAGTCTTTAATTTTTCCTTGCAGTTTTTATTTACTTTAGCAATAAAATGGGTAGTTAATAATTTGTCACAAATATTAACCCACTTAAAATAGTAAATGTTTTAATTCTTTAACATGTATTAATTTCTTATCTCCCTGTCTTTAATGAGTCTTTGGCTTTTTCCATTAGAAGCAACATTACAGTTCTTCATCTGTTTTACTAGCTTTTATTCAATAACACTCATTCAGTTATGCCAAGAGATTTGGAGGACAGCTACCTGGCCAACTGACTGGAAGAGATCCATATTTGTGCCCATTCCAAAGAAAGGTGATCCCACAGAATGTAGAAATTATAGAACAATATCATTAATATCACATGCAAGTAAGATCTTACTGAAGATAATTCAGAAACGTTTGCAGCAGTATATTGACAGAGAACTTCCAGAGGTTCAAGCCAGATTCAGAAGAGGACGTGGAACAAGGGATATCATAGCTGTTGTCAGATGGATCTTGGCTCAAGGCAGGGAATACCAGAAAGATGTTTCCTTGTGTTTTATTGACTATGCAAAGGCATTTGATTGTGTGGATCATGACAAATTATGGACAACATTGAGAAGAATGGGAATCCCCGAGCACTTGATTGTACTCCTGAGGAATCTGTACCTTGACCAGGAGGCTGTCGTTCGAACAGAACAAGGGGACACTACATGGTTTAAAATCAAGAAGGGAGTGCGTCAGGGTTGTATTCTTTCTCCACACTTATTCAATCTATATGCTGAGCAAATAATCCGAGAAGCTGGACTATATAAAGAAAAACGTGGTATCAGGATTGGAGGAAGAATCATTAACAACCTGAGATATGCAGATGATACAACTTTGCTTGCTGAAAGCGAGGATGACTTAAGGCACCTACTGATGAAAGTTGAAGAATACAGTCTGCAGTATGGATTACATCTCAACATAAAGAAAACAAAAATCCTCACAACTGGACCAATGAGCAGCATCACAATCAATGGAGAGAAGATTGAGGTTGTCAAAGAATTCACGTTGCTTGGTTCTACAATCGATGCCAATGGAAGCAGCAGTCAGGACATTAGACGACATGTAGCATTGGGAAAGTCAACTGCGAAGGAACTGTTTCAAGTGCTGAGGAGCAAGGATATCTCCTTGAGTACTAAGGTGCGCCTGACACAAGCCATGATATTTCCAATCGCCTGGTATGCATGTGAGAGCTGGACAATGAATAAGGAAGACCAAAAAAGAGTTGATGCTTTTGAGTTGTGGTGCTGGCGGAGAATGCTGAAAGTACCATGGACTGCTAAAAGAACTAACAGATCTGTCCTGGAGGAAGTGCAGCCGGAATGCTCCTTGGAAGCAAGAATGGCCAGACTTCGTCTCACCTGTTTTGGTCATGTTGTAAGAAGGGACCATTCCCTGGAGAAGGATGTCATGCTTGGTAGGGTGGAGGGTCGAAGAAAGAGGGGGAGGCCTTCAACGAGATGGATTGATATGGTGGCTGCGATGATGGGCTCAAGTATAGCAGGGATTGTGGGGCTGGCACGGGATCGGGCAGTGTTTCGTTCTGCTGTGCGTGGGGTCGCTATGAGTTGGAAATGACTCGACAGCACTTAACAACAACAACAACAAATTCAATAACACTTACTGATTACTGTTTCCACTGGAAAAAAGTTTTCACTAATACAAGTTCATCTTGTACCCATTCCAAGGCAGGAGGGTTAGGTCATTCTTGGAGTGCTGAAAGGACTTCCTTAAAAAGCAGTTTGACAAAACTAAAATGAAATACCACTTCAGGATAGGTATAGTCAAACAAAGAAAGAAAGAAACAAAAAAAAAGAATAAGGGTTGGCAAGGATGTAGAGAAATTGGGACTCTCATGTATTCCTGGTGGGAATGTAAAATGGTATAGTCACTGTAGAAGACAGTTGGTAGTTCCTGAATAAGTTAAACATAGAGTTACCATATGGTCCAACTCTTCTACTCTGACATATGTTTATCAAAAGAGGTGAACACAGATACTCACAGAATAGTATGTACAGTAGTGTTCATAGCAGCATTATTCACAATAGCCAAAAGATAGAAACAATCCAAATGCACTTCAGCTGATGAATGAATACACAACTGATGTATCCACACAATGAATAATATTCATCAATGAAAAAGGAAGAAGTACTGATCTAAGCTACAAGGTGGATGAAACTTGAGAACATTATACTATGTGAAAGCAGCCAGATAGAAAAGGCCACAGCTTATACAATTCCACTTATGTGAAATATCCAGAATAGGAAAATGCATAGAGACAGAAAACAGATTAGTGGTTGCCAGGGTCAGGCTGAGGTAATTGTTGTTTTTGTTTTTGTTAGATGGCGTCAAGTCAGCTCCGACTCATAGCAACCCCATGTGTAGCAGAACAAAACACTGCCCGGTCGTGTGCCAGCCCCACAATCCTTGCTATACTTGAGCCCATCATTGTAGCCACTGTATCAATGCATCTTGTTGAGGGTCTTCCTCTTTCTTACTGACCCTCCACTTTACCAAGCATGATAGCCTTCTCCAGGAAATGGTCCCTTCTGACAACATGACCAAAGTAGGTCAGACAAAGTGTAGGGTGGGGAAACACTGTTTCATGGGTGTGCAATTTCTTTTGAGTTGATGATGATATTCTAGAACTGGATGGTGATGATGGGTGCAGAACACTGTTAAATGTACTAAATGCCACTGAATTGTACACTTGAAACCGGGTAATGGTGAATTCTGTGTTACATGAATTTTACCATAATTTAAAAAAGAAAAGGTAGCTTGATGCAAGACAGGGCTAGGGGAAACTAAAGACAGTTCTATAGGGGAGTCTAGCACATAAGGACAATGATGTTGATTTCCTAAATGAAAAGTTATTAATAAAATCAACTTTCATACTTTAGACTTTCCTATTCAGATACTCTCTATTGACACTCTTGTCCAAGAAGCTATCCAAGCCTTTCATGACAAGGAAGAAGCCAGTGAGACCCTACTGGATCAGCAAGAAGCTAAAGAGAAAGATGTTCCAGGTTTGAAACACAGTAATAAAGAAAGCCAGGCAAGTGGGACTTTTTGCTCATTTACAGTAGAGATTTGAAGCTGAATGGAATCAACAAGACATTTAGACCAGGAATTTGGAAACTTTTTCTGTAAAGGAGAGAAAAGAAATATTTTAGGTTTGGGTGGTCAAGATGCAAAATCGAGGATATCATGTAGGTACTTATACGAGAAGAGAGAAGCTCCTGTCCAACCCCTCTCACCTGTTTTGCTTTGCAGTAGGCAGTCCAGGGTCATGGGACCTCATTGTGCCCAGTTTTGGTCAGTTGGAGACATTATCCTGCTGAAAGAGTCACTGGGACCAAAGGGGTGTAAGGAAACTGGAGTGTATATGTAATGGTGGGGGGTGGAGGGTAGGAAGGTTAGGAGGAACTTACTAAGTTGTCAACTTCTGGTCTGAGATTCCACCACTCAAGGCTTTGCAGTTGCCAACAACGGAGTCCCCAACATGTGACAGGTGCTGGCCTTGGGCAGTGACTACAGAGGCAGGTACTGGAGTGGAGGAGAACAGAAGTGGAAGGGGACATTTGGCTCATTCTCTCTTGACTCACAGGCTCACAGTGTTAGCCCAGTCAGCTGGAGGCCACATTTGACCCACAACATTATAGTTCGCTCCTATGTGATCTAGACTAGTATGCTAAGATTTTTTTTCTCCCCTTTTGGTCTCTGTACGATTATATGCATAACACAGTCTCTTAAGTATTGCATTCTGTAATATTATTGCATGATGATTCTAGCAGATAAATAGGCAATGTGGCCCCACCTTGAGAATCATTGATGCACTTCAGCCTCTCCTTTTACAGAGGAGGTAATAGAGACCCTAAGCATGACTTGGTTTGCTCAGGGTCATATTGCATGCTGGTGGCTACACTGTGGTTGGAACCTGGTATTCCAGATTTTCAACTCAATAATCTTTTCCCTAAGGAGCTCTGGTCATGCAGTGCCTAAGGTATTTGACTGCTAACCAGAAGGTTGGCAGTTCAAACACACCAGGTACTCCATGGAAGGAAGACTGGGCAATCTACTTCCATAAAAATTTACCACCTCAGAAACCCAAAGGGGGTTGCTATGAGTCGGAATCAACACGATGGCAGTGACTTCATGGATTTTTTTTTTTTCTTTTGTACTCTATCCCCTGCCTTATACTGTCGCTGCAATTGGATAAATTAGCAGATCATTTACATGGGCTGCAAAATATGTAAACATCTACCATTTAATCATGAATTGTGAAAACAACTGGGAAAAGTTTACTTCATCATGTTGTATCTCTTCTTTCAGTTCAACAAGGTATTAGATTAGGCTAAGACTGACACTTCTATGTGTTGTTTATATAATTGTTCTTCCTAAGGTGCTTTTTCATAAACCTACCTCTTTCTCAGTATCCATTGTATAACCAAAATTGCAGTTGCTATACATTTGCATAGAAACTGAAGGCCTTTTGAAAGGGAGATGACACCACAATTTACTGGTGTTCCTAAAAGTAAAATTATCATTAATTTTTGTTTCTTTCTCAAAAATCATCATTTAGGATCAAAACATCAGTCTTTGATATCACTAATATTATATGTGTTATATATATAATTATAATTACATTATGTATATAATGTTTTCATAACTGTTTTTTGCAATTATAGTTGTATAATTTATAATTTTATATAATTTTTTTTTCATAATTATGTATGGTAACTCTAGTGGCATAATACCTAAGGTATCTGACTGCTAACCAGAAGGCTGATGGTTCAAACCCACCAGCCACTCCTTGGAAGGAAGGTTGGGGAATCTACTTCTATAGTGATACTGCCTCGGAAACCAAAGGAGGGGTCACTATGAGTTGGATCCAACTCAACGGCAGTGAGTGGTAATGGATGTTATGTATATGATGTTATTTTTCTCAAACTTTTACTTATAGAAATAAGATTGGAAATGTTAAAATAAAAGAATGTTAAGATCTGTCTGTGTGTGTGTGTGTGTGTGTGTGTTTTCTCCCTCAAAGGTTCAAGGAAGTGTATCTTCAGCTGGTCCAGTTTCAAGTGATGCATTACCGGAGTCAGAAGGTAAAGCTATACCTAGTACACATGATGGAAAAACAAGTCATCCATCATTTACACTGGAGACACAGACAGGCAGAATACACGTACGTGAGCACAAACATATGTTGGGGACGTGATGCCTACTTGTCTACATGGTGCTTTTGGCAGAGGACCAAAACAAGCACAGAGTTCCCTAAAAACCTTGCCTACAACCATAGAATAAGAGAGGAAATTGCCAAGAAATCTTTTCATGCTCCTACACCGAGAAGTTTTTTTGTTGTTATGAAAATAGCCAGAATGAATCACTCTCACTCTTCCTGGCTTTACAGGGAGGTACAATTATCTTGTTTGTTTTCACTATGCAGGTCTGTGTGAGTACTGTGTTCACTGTGTTGAAGGATGCTGCAGGGTCTGGTCTCTTCAACCCACCAGAATGAAGCTAAGATCCTAAGTTCCTTAGATGAAGCTATGTGTATTCCAGCCTTGAACAAGGCAAATAGACAGAAGCTTCCCAAACCTCATGAAAAATGATCTCCCTTGGGATCTGGGCTTTTCTCCTTTAGGTCCTTTGTAGAACCATTAAAGGAAAACAGTGTTAAATCTTGAAGTCTTTTCTACTTGTGGCAATGGTTTACCATATTAGTTTCCTTGTATTCCAGCATAAACTCAGCTCCTCCTGTGATGACATTATTGTCATCACTGCCAGATAATGTGTAGATTTAGTATGCACTCACAATTCTACCAGAGGGGTTGGTTTTTCATCTTTTAGAGGGAGATTATCTTTCCCTTCT